GTGTTGTTGATCTGTTGGGGGATGGCCTCGTAAGGCGGCTGGTTCTGGCTGCAGATGGCCAGCCACACGAAGCCCTTGTCACCCTCGATCAGCCAGCAGTCACCGCGGGCCAGCCCGCCCTCGTGCAAAAGGGTGGCGGCCACCACGCACACCCATAGTGCTCCCCACCTGCGCCCGGCCATCGGGACCGCCCTTGCGGGAGACCCTGCTCAGCCTGCCCAGGGATGGTCTGGGGGGTGGGGGCCAGGGACAGCCCCCAAAGGGACAGAGGGGTAGGAGGGGGAGATGCCTGCTCTCTCAGGGGTGTCCTGTCCCAAACCACATGGTCGCACAGTGCAATCGCTGGGAGGGAGTGTGCCTCCCTCACGGCCAGCTGCCTCTCATCTTCTGCCCAAGTCCCACAGCGACCGAAGCCTCCTTCCCCATGGGCTGGGGTGTCCTGACAGCACACCTGCTCCTCCTGCTCTGACGTTCCTGTGGCAAGACAAAAGAGAGGAGAGACGGTCATGAGATGGCCCTCTCCACAGACCCCGGGGGTAAGTGTGGAAGGAGTCCCACTCAGGAAAGACCTCCTGAGGCCTCTTCTATACAGCAGAAGGGACTCTGTATCCTTCCTCAGAGGCTCTCTGGAGGAGGGGGCCAGTCCCTGAGATAAAGCAGGGGAACAGAGGAAATGCTTAGTCCTCCAGTTGGGGTCACCTGAAGTTTCTGGCCTCAGTTTCTTCATCTGGAAAGTAGGCATGGCCCTACCTGCTTGGCTGGGATCAAATGTGCTGTGACCACACAGAATCAAGACCCGGACAGTCCGTTTCATGGTTAGGACAACCCTGGTCAGGTAAGGAGACTGAGGCCCAGAGATGAGACCCGAAGTTGCTCAACCAATGAGTGACAGGGCTCCTTCTGCAAGGATACTCGTGTGAAAGACCTCGCTGGGCACCATGCCCTGCCTGGGAAGCCAGAGAGTCGTTTCTGCTGACGGGGAGGCCCAGCCACCTGCAAGGGGTGCCTGGCCTATCCAGGGACTCAGGACTTCTAGGCCTCGATCTGAGCTCTCCTGCCACGTGGTCCCTCTGGGTCTCAGTTTCTCCCAGTGAACTAGTTGGATGGTCTCTGAGGCCATCCATCTGGCGCCCTGGACTTACAGCTGTCACAGCCCCACGTTGGTGGAGCCTGGCAGCAAGGCCTGGAATGAAGGGAGCAGCTTGCTCTGCCAAGAATTCCTTGGACCTGCATATTCTCCTTAGGCTGGGATTCAGAACTCTCCATGGTCCCTGAGCCCTTTCCCTCCATCCTGTCCCTGTGACAGGGGCACCTTCCTCTCTATCTCTCGGCCCCACCAAGCCATGAGCCTTTCCAGGCAACACTGTGCCTCCTCCCTCTGTCCCGCTAGTGCCTGCTGGGCACGTATGCTAAGGATGTGACCCTGAGACCACAGAGGAGAGAGCCTTCCAGGCAGGAGAGGCCGCAAGGCAGGGCTGGGGGGTGGACTCGTGGCAGAGACAGAGACTGCTAGGCCCCTGCTCCCCCGGGGCCCCTACTGCCCAGCCAGCAGGAGGACCATGGGACTGAGCTCCCCACGCCTTGTGTTCCCACAGGACGGAGAAATGGGTGTGTGTTTGCTTGTTAATATTTGGATTTACAGCCGGCCTCTGTTACCACTCCGTGGCCTGGCAGCCAGCCAGCCGAGTGTATTTCACTGATATTGACGTTTGCAACTAGTCTGCACTGAGGCGGTTTAAATTTGGAGAAAGAAATATAATGATGTGAAATGGATTTTTTTCCCTCTTTGGAAACTTCATAAAGAACAATTCTGATCTGACTCTTGGGGAAGAGTCTATTTCCAACTGAAAGAGAGGGGAGAGATCAGATGGGGTGGGGGCTGCAGAGAATCTTGGCAGGCCTGGGAGCCAACCCAAGGCTTGACCCAACATCACTCCAGTAGATCCAGCAAAGCCTAGGTCTGTCTGGGCAGGTCAGAAATGGCTCTGGGGGCAGTTGGGAGCATACTTGGGCCTCACTCCCTAAGGTAGGGAGCTGAGCAAACAGCGTCCCCAAGTGAGCTGGTCGTGATATCAATAAAACCCACAGTCGTGGGAGAGCTCAGCGATGTCTGGAAGCACCTTGAACTCACCTCTGCCACCATCACACAGCACCGAGCACGGCCGGCTGCGCCCCGTGTAGGCACCTTCCCTAGCGCCACCACGTGCTCTCCATCCACGATGCCAGAGCCTGGTCAACATATGCCAGCACTGTGATTTATGTGGCCTGGGCCTCTCGAGGGCCCAAGACTCAGCAGAGGCCACCGGTGGCCTGTGCAGGTGCAAGAAAGCTCAGGGCAGACCGTCTGGCTCCGGCCTGCAGAAGGAGGGGCAGCAGCCATGGGCCCATCTAGAAAGAGCGGCGCCTCAGCAACGCCGATCATAATCACCTTTAATCTCTTGCTCAAAATAACCCAAAGTCAAGTTAAGGAGGATTACAGGGCCTAAAGAACCCTTATCACAGGCACTGCTCGCAAGGAGGAGGAGCAGGAGCTCCCAGGGCTAGCCAGCCTCTGCTCCCCACACTCCCTGGACCCTGAGCTGCTGACCCAGGGGCTCTGGGTTGGAGGGCTGCATGCACTCAGGTGTGCATACGTGTGTTTGGTACGCGTATGTTTTTCTATGATGGTCTGCACACGCATGTCTGTCTATACACGTTTACATGCACATGGCATGTGCGTGCCAGCCTGTGCACACCCACAGGTCAGTGTGCACTGGGACACAGGTCTAGGCAGCTGGGTCTGAGAGGGCTGTGTGTGGGCAGCCGGGGGTGGCAGAGAAGCAACTCCAAACACCCCTGGGATTTATTCTGCATAATCACGCGCTCACTGGGGCTTACTCAGTACTGTCTGGGGCTTACCTGTGCATGCCGGGAATGTGCCCCATCTAGGCTGCAAGGTGTGCTGTCACCTCTGAGGTCCCACTGGACACTGCCTAGCTCTCCTTTCCTGTCCCTCTTGCTCTCCTCCTCCCAGCCCGTTTTGTCACCACCGTGATCCCAGCACCCAAGGAACAGTCTAGGAGTCTGTGCTTCAGGCTCGGCACCTAGGGAAGGTTATTAGCTTTCGTCTCATCCTCCTCCCCCACTCAGGAACCTCCTCCCTCGGGCTGGGAGCCTAATGAGGGAAGCAGGGCCGGTTCCCAGCCTGGGGCTCTGGCTGACCAGGTTTCCAGCTCTCAGCTTCACGCTTTGCACCTGCTTTGGAGGGTTGGGCTGGAGCCAGGCCTAACAGGGGGAGGAAGTCCTCCATCCCAACCCCCCCACCTGGCTTCCCTGCCAAGCCTCCCAGGTGGCAGGATCCACCAGCATGTGTCCATCACCCCACTGTGAGACCAGCCAGACCTGCCCCTTCCTGCCCACTTTACAGCCCCACAACCTTGGCCATGGAGGGACCCCAAATTCTCACTCCATGCCTCACTTGACAGGTGGGGAAACTGAGTCCCAGAGAGACAGTCTTATCCAAGGTCACACTGTGAGCCCGCTCAGTGCCAGTCCTGGGGCAGGGAGCAAGTGCAGCAGGCACCTCCCAGGCCTGATCCCCTCCCCCAGAACCACAGATGCTGCATCAAGTGTGGGGACAGGATGCCTTCCCATGGGATTGGGGGCCCCTGAGGGCAGAAGGCCATGGGCCTGACTAGGACAGAGCCGCCAAAGGGATTACCTAGGAAGGCTCTGAAGGATCACAGACATGCCCCCCCTCACCCATTGTTTCTCTGTCTTCACTCTCTCACGCTGTAACTCGATCCCTCACCCCTACCCATACATTCTCTCTCTCTTTTTTTTTTTTCTTAGAGTTTTTTGCTACAGGGAGCATGCGCTAGCCAGACAGAGAGAGAGAGAGAGAGACAGACAGAAAGCGAGAAATCACCCCCCAGGGGAGATGGCCACGCCGCAATCCCTTCTCTTCCATTCTCCTCTCGGGACCTTGGGCATGCACGCACACATGCCCGGTGTGAGTTTTAAGCCACTGGGTCCGGGACGCGAACTGCGATCGACTACGTGGGAGTCCAGCAACATAGCCATTACGCAAACTGCTGGTCCCCTCCCCCCCAATGCATTCTCACATCGATTCACATTCTCACACGTGTGCCTCCACCCTGTGCTTAGTAATCCACTCACTAAGCCACAGGTCTCCAGGACAGAGTGGACAGCAGGCGCACAGACCCGACTCTGGGTGTTGCTCTCATGTGTCAGACCACACCCCCTCCCTGCTCCCCTCCTCACCTCACCTGTACCGATGAAGGCCATAGGACCCTGGGGAGGTGTGGGGTCTCTTGGGAGGTCTGCTTCATGTAGTCTGGAATGAGCTCACCTCCCCCTCAACCCACTTCCTCTATCCCTACCCCCAGATTCTGGCCTCAGGCATCAGAGACACTGAGGCTGAGGACACCTCCGCTCAGATCCCTCTGACGTCGCCTGCCTGCATCATCCGACCGTCCTCATCCCTGCAACATCATCCCTGCCCGAATCCAGGCGTGCTGCAGCAAGTGCCCATGGGACTTCCTGCAATGGTGCAGAAGCTCTCTACGTGTGCTGTCCAGGAGGGTAGCCACAAGCACCAGAAATGTCATTAGTGGCTGTTGTGCTGGACTACACAGTTCTAGAACCTTCTACTAGAATCAGTCAATAAAAATTAAACTTGATCAGAGAGCTCACCAGCCTTTGCCCCAACCTCTCCTCCCGATCGTGGCACTTTTTCTTGAAAGCATTGCCAGAGGCTTTCATCCCACTCTCACTCCGTCTTTTCTCAGCCCCTCTGTCAGCATCACTCGCCATGCCCTTTGAGCCAGCTCTCGTCAAGGTCATGGGTGACCTCCGCATTGCCAGCTCCAAAGGGCATGCTCCTATTTTTATCTTGCTCAGCTTCTCAGCAGCGCTTGGCCCACGCAACTGTCCGTGACTTCCTAAAGCACTTTCTGCCCTGAGATTCTGAGCCACCGCCCTGTTCTCGTTGGAACGGTCCCACGGCCAGCCTGGGTCCCCAGCCCTGCCTTCACTCCAGCACTCCCTGGGGTGGTCTTGTTTGCCATGTTCCAACCACTGATCTATCTCAATCAACCGCGATGATCCTGACACAGACGGCTTCCCCATCTAAGAAGCCGCTCGCAGTTCGTACCCTATACAGAGTTCATGCCTCACCATCAACCCATTCTACAAGCCAAAACTTGGCACAGCATCTTCAGGCCTCTCCTTCCTCACCTGACTCTGGCCCAACGGCAGCAGCGCCAACTCTAGCTCCAAGAGGATCTGGGTGGAATTACAGCCTCTCCCACACTCACATGGCCACCCTGGGCCACGACCACTATCTCCTGCTGGGATGAGGCCAGTGGCTCCCATCTCTGATCCTGGTACCCCATCGTCATTCTCCCCTCCACAACCAGAATAGATAGAGAACTATCACTGGGGTCCTGTCACCCCCTCCATCTTCACCTATA